TATATAATAATTATTGTTTTTTTGAACTCAATGAATTGTGCCATTTTTTTTAACATTCCTTGCTGTGCTGATTTTTTTTAGGACTTGCTCACCTCCTCTTTTTTTTTAATTTAWATTGGTGACAACATTTTTTTTATGGTTGCTTGACCAAATAACTTTTTTTGTTCTTAGGTCATGGTCATCTTTTTTTTCTTCTAACCCCGGGCCGGGCTTTTTTTTTCCACACCTTCCGGTTTTGTCAAATTTGGAATGTTGCGCCTGGGTAAACTTTTTTTACTTTCAGGGAGGAATTTGACTTTTTTTGAAGTCACGGGTGTTAGAAGATTTTTTTTCATCTGAGAAACTTTGGATGTTTTTTTAAGTTTCCTAGTTTGAATCAGTTTTTTTCTCCAATACATTGCAATTATTTTTTTTTCACATCCACACAGTCTTGAAATTTTTTTAACCCCTCATTGTTGGGCTTGTTTTTTTACTACTTCATTAKAATACATTTTTTTTTTCTKTRATGTGTGTTCTGCATTTTTTTTTGATGTTCTAWCTCCAGCATATTTTTTTAAATAATGATTGACAGAATTTTCTCTTCTCATCGTGGCGAAAGGAACCTTTTTTTTTATAGTAATGCCCACATTGATTTTTTTTTAATGGATTTGATACTCTGCGTTTTTTTATACTAGGTGATTGAGAAAAGTTTTTTTACGAGTCGCATAGTAGCAAAGTTTTTTTGCAATGTGCTAAAAGCTGAAGTTTTTTTCGTAGTTAACACACAAACTCTTTTTTTTTTGACTCRATGAATATTATTATTTTTTTACAATGCAAATCAATTCACACTAATCAACTATCGTTAAAATATTTCCATTTTTTTTTAWCAATAATACAAACAGTGCTTTTTTTTACCATTGAAAAAACGAATTATATAATTTGAATCATGCCCACAAACTAATTTTTTTAAAGTTCATAGCTTACATGTATTTTTTTTAATTAAAATGTTGATGGGGCTTTTTTTACTTTGCTAAAATATCAAAATAAAAATGATGAGGGTAAAAGATCCAAAATTTTTTTCTAGATACGTAGAGCCACTCCTTTTTTTTACTTCTACTGTATCAGGGATTTTTTTTTGCATCGTAAATCAACGTAATTTTTTTTTATTTTCCTTTAGCTTGATTCTTTTTTTTTGAATGTTGTTGACAGGCATTTTTTTTTCATGGTCACGTGAGACCGTTCCTCTGGTACCAGGTACGATCACAGGCGTTTTTTTTAATAATTTAAAATTTTTAACTTTTTTTTTTTAACTTAAAGTTTTGGTTTTTTTTTCATTGAAAAAGAGTAACATTTTTTTTTTAGTCAGAAGAATCCGTCGGAATTTTTTTTCGTAGTATAGAGGCTAGAAATTTTTTTGTATTCCTTTCAAACAAATAATTTTTTTGGTCTTCCTGTAGTACATGAGTTTTTTTGGTTTCATGGGACACATAGCATTTTTTTGCCGACGCCATTGAGGACAGTTTTTTTTAGAAGTGAGACTACTACATTATTTTTTTCAAACTATACTTACTAAGAACTTTTTTTGGGAATTCCAGCAAGCATTTCTTTTTTTATTTACTAAACAATATGCTTGTTTTTTTGAAATGATATTTTTAGAACGATTTTTTTCAGAACTACGATTTTACAAAATTTTTTTCTTTTTTGTGACGAAGTACATTTTTTTTAAGAATTGCGATGTGGCGAGTTTTTTTTATTATAACATAACATAGATTTTTTTTTTTTAACATTCACGATTAAAGCATTTTTTTGTAGTATGGAATGGATTCCCTTTTTTTTACCAATGGCGCCAGGACAACCTTTTTTTTTTTTGAATGATATTACGATTTTTTTTTTTATAGTTTTGAGTATCGTAGTTTTTTTCTTATCTGACTTCTTGTGTATTTTTTTTGTGTATCCCGAATTCCCTTGATTTTTTTGATAGATTTTTGGCGATTAGTTTTTTTTTTTCTCCACTCCTAAAGGTCATTTTTTTACTAAAAGCTGCACGTGTTTTTTTTTTTTTACGTACTGGTACGTACCGTTTTTTTTTTCTTCGTTTGCAATTGACGTTTTTTTTTCTAGAGCGATCACACTTAAATTTTTTTGTCGGCCATGTTGGAAGATATTTTTTTTCGGGAAAGTGAGCGCTCAGTTTTTTTTTCCTTCTTTTGTGAAACTGAAATTTTTTTTTATATTCATTGTTATTGTAATTTTTTTTAANAATCAAAATGGCGGATAACAGAGAAGATGGGGCTGATCAGTCCGGATTATAGTAACATTCACTTGGCGATATTTCTAATTTTAGTCATTATTCTTTTCTAATTTGTATTCGGGACGTAAGATGTTTGATTTTTTAAAGCTCTAAGTTATGCAGATGGCAGGTTTTTCGGTCGATTCGAAAGCTAAGTCTGCTCCACAGAGACATTTTGCTATCCAGCAAGAATTCTGGTATCCAAACACCAAGGTAAAAGGCATTGTTATACAAAATTTCAAAGCAAAGTTCTAGCGAGCACCTCAGCGGTGAAAATTAAGATAAACAATGAAAGATTTCAGTATTTGGACCAGTTTATATAAACACGATGTCCCATCTCTGAGACGAAGCGAGACTGTAAAGCTTATCATAGATACCTTACTGTATTACTAGTAAAGTTGGAGTTACGAAGGTGTTCGTTATTTTCTTCGAAATTTATTGATTAATGCTATATAAGTGAGGTACTACCAGAGTTAGATAAGGTTGCGATATCTGAGTATTGACATGATACATGGGAGACAAGAGAAAAGATCATTGCTTTAAACTTCTACACCAGTCTCTAAGTGTATTTCTTTATTAATAATTTTTCTACAATGAAAATTAAACTGTAAGACTAACATCACTCTTTTTAATCTGAAACAAATAAAACAAAAACAGATTTGTTAGCAATATCTCTATTGTTATACATCACATGATAAGTACAGTCTACAATTACATGCTGTTAATCTAAAATGTATATAGCCTCCCTGTAGTCTCTTGGTCCATGAAAATATGCAAAGAAAACAGTTTCACACACTAACTAATTGCAAACTAATTAAACTTTATATTAATCCCATCATATTATCATATTATTGAATCAATCAGTTTTAAAATGATAACATTTAGGTTAGATCACAGATTCAACACACCAAAAGCACTCTACTTAGGTTTAACCACAAAAGTTGAATTGTACCTCCATGTCCTCGTGGCCTTCTACATCGACCATGCAGGCAGATAATGCCTCCATGACTTCTGCAACATKAGTGCTCTTGTTAATCTCTAATTCCCAGTCGCAGGGAATGACCACCCCACCCCCTGTTTGSCTGTCCTTTCTCCATTTCTGATGGGWTGGTGGCTTTGCAGAAAGTTTTGGTGATCCTCTGATGATGCTGAAGAAAGAAATATAATTTCTCATACTTTTTACTTGCAATTAGAATTGCACTGTATTGTATGATATGTAAGAATTCTGGTCTAAAACCACATTCAATGCATTTTTAATTGTCTTTTGAATACTATTCATAGAAGATAGTGCATCAGCTGTGCATATGTTATCTCACAAAAAATACTATCAGATATCCGGAAATATTTCCTGTAAAACGTAACCAGCAACCTTGGAATGTGCGAAAGAGGAATTACTTTAAACTATTAAATTACTCACCCTTTCATAGATAATATTTTATTTTCTGCAAGTAATGTGGCCAATGTTCTGTTCAAAAAGTATTGAACTCTGCCTATGGGTTTTCCAACAACATCTCTCACTTTATATGTTGYCTTCTTGGAGGAACTTTTCATCGTTTCCTCCAAGAAGCGATCTGGTAGGTCGGCGGGAACCATGCATAGGAGCGCAAAGGGATCTCTGTTCCCATCTTCAGATTTTATAATTACATGTGCACCTACAGGCAATTTTATGCCAAACTCGTGATATCTGTTTTAAAGATAAAAGAAAACAAATCAYATGGAGTCGATCGACTGTGAATTCTGTAATTAAAATCGAAATGCTTCTAAATGCTGGTCAATGGACGCAGATATTCATATAAAATCATTTTGCAGCATTTATCTCACCCCTTAATTCTTCCGTTCGTTAYGATTATAAACCTGGTTGCCTGATTGTCTGGAAATAACAAGAATTAATCATTGTTGATCGGTAGGTGATTGCAGCGTACGTGAGCCCTGCRCGTGTTCACGAAGAAATGAAAACATTTCTTGTTTAAATCATTATATACATACAAAAAATGGAATACATATCATACAATACTGCRTATATACTTACCACTTGTAGCCATCTTGTTTCTGAAACGTTGAATTGATTGAAGTATTAAACAGTTATTAAAAGCTAGCTTTGTCGATCAGCATACGAAGTCGAAGGTAACGCGCCAAAGTCGCGTTTTATGCTAATCATTAAACCTTGTCAATCAAAACATTCTGTTCGAGTGATTCTATTGGTGGAAGTTGTTTTGTCATCTACTTTTCTCGCTGATGATTGGCCATATAAAAGGGACTCATATTACAGGAAAACCCCGC